AAGAGTATGTACATATAGCATTTTGCTCACCGAGTGATAAAGCACTGGCGTTCCATTTGGGAATTCCGAGGTTCAAATCCTCTGATAGCGGACTTTTTTAAATAATTTTACTTAAATTTTTTTAATTTTTATATTTAATTTTTTAAAAAGATAAATTATATTCTATTAATTTTATCTAATTATTATAAACTTATTTTATGAATTTGTCCTTTTTTAATCTCATTATTTTCTTTCGTAGTTAATTTTTTAATTTTTAAATTTCACTGTTTTAAAGTGAAAAATAATATTTTGTCCAATTTAATTTGCAGAAACTGATTTCATTTTTTCCCTTTTTTAATTTTAACTGATCTTAATTTTCAGATTTTATTGTTGTATAAAGAAAACTATTTTTAGTCAAATACATTTAATTTTTTGGAACTTTTATTATTTTTTTTATAACATTTTTTTATTTGCAAATTTTTTCACTTTTTATTTAATTTTTAAATCCATTTTTTTTAAGAATTATATGTTCTTAATATCACTTAATTTATAGAAACTTATTTTATTAATTTCTTAAATTTTTTTCTTAATTTGATCTTCTTTAAATATTTCGATCTTATTATTTTAAAATGGTTTTCTTTTCAGTTTCATAATATTTTTAAGACTCAGATTTTTGTTTTGTAAAATTTTTTGCCTTTTTTAATTGTAGTTTTTTTATTTAAACTCATTTCATTTTAGGAAGTAATTTTGTTTTATTTCAATTAAGTTCGTTTCTTTTTTTATTTAATTGTCTTTAACATTTAGATTTTGTTGTTTTGAAAAGGAAAATATTTTTTCTAAATCTTATAATTTATAGGAAAATATTTTATTCTTTTTTTTTAAATTTAATTTTATCTTAATTTCTTTAATTTCCTCACATTTTTAGGAAATATTTTCGTTTTCATCTGTTTATTAAATTTTATCCTGTTATTTTTTTGGCGAGAAACATATTTTTTTGATATCATTAATGTAAAAAATTGTTATTATTTATAATATAATTTTTTTCTTTTTTAGTTTAATTTACTTTAAATTTTTAGTTTTTATTGTTTTAAATAGAAAAAATATATTTTTAAAGTTTAATTTAATTTTTACAAAACATTTTGCTAAGTGGCAAACAGAATAAAGCTAAAGGCAATGTCACACGATTGGTACATTTGTACTGATTTGTAAATTTTTATATTGGGCTAATTGTACAAAACAAAATAAAATAAAATATAAAAAATTGGGACATTTTTTTTTAGTCACACGAATTGTAGCAATCGCAGCGAACTTCTATTGAAAAATTAGAACTTTTTTTCATGATTGGGAAAAAGAAAAATATTCGTGCATTCAGACTATTGGGATACGATTTGTACCAAATATTGGGCAAATGTCCAATCGTACGACACGGCCTTAAGACCTCATCGTTGGCGGGTATTTCAATTAGTCTTTCGAAAAGCATAAAATAGCTTTGAAAATAGTTGCCAGAATTGACAATTATTTTGCGAGAGTTTTGTCCTTCGAAAGCCTGTGATTAGTTAAAAGACAGTTGGCAAAATTTCCGCGTAAAATACTGAAAACATTTTACTGACATGTACAGAAATGTGGTGAAATTTATCAAATTAAAAGTAGTGGACGCTTGACCCACTTATAAGGTATAGTATAGCATACTAAAGTCGATAAGATGCTAGCCTTAACAAATACTTCTAAGCATAAATTCATAGAAAGGACATAAACGGGCTAAAAGTCTTTTCAAGCTTCATTTTAACTTGATTTATGTATTTTGGAACGAATTTCTGTCATGCCTTGTCAAACTTGGTTTGGAGACCCACCTGGTTTTTGGCGTTATGCCGCCCCAAATGCTTAACATTAAGGTAACCCAACTTAGCACAAAATCTTTGCACATTTCATTTAAGAAAATCATCGCTCAACAAGTAGTCCCCCTTTTTTAAACTTTCTCTTTCTTCTGCACACACTCATTTTATTTCTCTCTATTAATCACATTGGCATACGAAGTGGAATTGCTATTCTCCATAACAGTCACACTTTCACGTAGCGTTGTTCTCGGCGTCAACCAGTCACGCGGTAGGATGCGTTGTAAGAATGGCACATAACCGCTAATGGTTGCCAATCGATTCACCCAGCCGGGTATTGCTTTGCCACAAAGAAATCGCGCCAAATAGTCACAGAAATGATTGCAATTATTATTGATCAAATGATATGAACTGCCAGTAAACTTCTGACCCAACTCTTCGACTATCTCATACACCTGCTGACATGTGAATTGGGTGCATCCGAGATTGACGGTCTGGCGAAATTGAAAATTCGTACCCAAATCCGCATGGTCACGTGGCAACATTTCAAAGATACCCGTAAATGGAAATTGATGGCCGCCATAGGCGAATTCAGTGCCATAGAGTTCGACGCCGGAATGAAAGGCGCCAAGTCCAATATAAGCGGAGTACTCATTGATTTTGAGTATGTCATAGACATTCAACTTGACGGGTTCGCAGAAAGTGCCCAGTCGGGCATGCACACAGTTACGTGGTTGTGGCTTCGTTGACTGTGTTGAGGTGGTGGTGGTGGTCGTTGCTGTTTCTGTTGTCGTTGTTGCTGTTGCCGCTGCTGTTGATTCATTATAGCGTGCTCTCGTAAAGGGCGTATCAAAGCAGCTGCCGAAATTGAATTTGCTAAATAGCGGTTTATTCGAATGCATTTGTTCGATTGAAGATCTCAAAAATTTATTTCATAATAAAAAATAAAATTTGAAATGATATGAAAATACAAACTGCTGATTTTGAACTGTAGTTTGGCAATTGTGACATTTGCAGGCGTAGAAAGAAAGAGGAGAAGAAGGTAGTAGAATTTTAAAGAGTGATGCAAAAAGCATGAACATTTTTTTTTTTTAATTTTAAAACTTAGTTAGACAAAAATTTTGTTTTATCGATTTTTTTTCGCAAGTAACATAACCTGCACTTTTAAATACTTATTCATCTAAACATTTGTAAAAACATTGGTTTTTGTAAAAAAATTTATAAAAAATAATAAAAACAAATAAAGGTTAGTTATTAGGGTGTTCGATTATTCGCCTTCCTTCGAAAGCCATTTCTCGAGTTATTTGAAATAGGTATAGCTTTAATTAAGAAATCGGTAAGGCAAAATAAGTTCGAAGTATTTTGGATTACAAATACTTAAAAGCAAGAAAAATTGTGAAAAATTCACACCTACTGATCTTGACAATATTTTATGTTTTGGCGGGGAAAACTCGAGAATGTAGAGTCGACTGTCTTGTGAATGAGAATGCACCATCCGCTGCACCAGGCTGACCGTACAAATGTGGTCTCTTATAGACAGGGCATTCATCGAGAATCAGTCAACACCTTCGTCAACTCTCAAAAATCAACTTACTTATGAAGAAAATCGATGGATAAATAAAGAAATAATGAGTGGTCAAATGAAAATGCGCAAAGATTTTTTGTATGAAATATGAGCATAAAAGAGTGCTGCTTAGGTGTACATGGCGCATGAGAAACGATACATTTTCAACAAAATAAAACTGGAATATCATTCAGTCTTATCGGGAAGTGATGTATAGACGGTTTAAGGAATTTTTTTTTTAGCTTTCATTTGTCGTATTCCATTTTCAGTTTGTTAAATTGGTTGATGAGATGTAAGACGGTAAATTGAAAATGTCTCGAAAACGTGTCCGTAGAATAAAAAATCAACACGATTTTCGGAATCATCGGGCGTTTATACATACAATTTGGATATTGGCGTCTGGAGAACAAAAACCAAATTAAAATTTGTGATCCAGTGTCAGTAGTTATTAATGGGTAGCCAATAGAAAGTAGTCTTTAGTCACTAGCCATGATTCAATATTACAAGGTTAGATAATTATTGACAGCTGCGGTTTGACACTCCCTTACAAAAGGTTGCATTTACGAAGGACGGAGAAAAGGGGAGGAATGAAATCTCTTGGTGCGAAAATGGTAGTAGAAAAGTACGCAAAGTAGGCAATTAGTAGTGAAATTCCTTTTGTAAATTCTAATGTATTTGCAGGAAATCTGGCATTTTAAACGAAATGTTGAACGTAATATTGATGTATCTATGTGAATTACGTAATTTATGTGCTATTTAGCTGTATAAAAACTGCCAAATGGTTCATAATTAAAATAAGACTACTGTGAGATTGATGTAAACATCCAATTTAAAAACAGTTTATGTTTTCACCAGTTAAATATGCTTCATATGCATATACAAATAAACATATTGCATAAACGCTCATACTTCTATTTCACACCAAAGCTACTCTGTATCAGAAGCAGCACGGTGCCACAGCTAAGGGAGCGGTGCGAGAGAGACAACTGTCAGTTTATCGAACCTTGTATTATTGAGTCATGGTCACTAGCTACTAGTCAGTAGTAATTTTTATCTAGTCTTCAGTGTCTAGTAATTATTTATGCCTTGTCAAATTTTAAAGACTGGCAATAATATAGCAGTTTTCGATTTTAAAAATACACAGCAATCATTTAACCTCACACCCGTGCAGTTCACTGCAACCACTCTGTAGCATACACACAGTATGTATTTAGGTAGCACATACAATATATTGATATCAACTCACAGTTTATATATATACATGCGCACATACCCACATGTACACTAGACCGGGTCGGTCTACATACGACAGAAAAAAAACTGCAATTACCCCACAAGTTTGATGGCTTACCTTGAGAGATTTTTAGGGTCAAAAAAATTTTCGTCTTTCGGGAGCCATTAAATTGCAAAAATCGAGTTTTCTTCATAATTCTTTTATTAATTTTTAGAACTCACGAAGGACGAAAATTTTTATGATCCAAAAATTATCTCAAAGGAAGCTTTCAAACTAGGAATGGTAATTGGAAACTTTTTTTCGCGACCCAATCTAATGAACATATGTATATACATACATACATATACCTATATGTATAAATATATATTTAAAGCTCGACAATTATACTCACTATCGATTTTACAATTAACCGAATTGCTGCTTTTCTTTGATGAGTTGCGTGACATCTGCGAGTGATTCGCTTGCGAATGTGATGGACTCGAATCGACGGAACGACGCGCCGCAGCGCTGCTTTGGAATATCGATGGGCCGCTGGCAAGTGGACTGGGCGTAACAGTGACCATGGGATGTACGCTACCTGAAAAAAAATAAAGCAGAAAGAGAGCAAATATTAATTTGCAATAAACTCGATTTTATATGCATGTGTATACATGCATACATGTATGCATGCACATTAGACCGAGTCAAAAAAAAAATATGTCTTTTTGCAATTCGACCGGAATGAGACTCAATTTTTTGGCATTTGGTATAGTAATGATAACCCACGAATTAAAAAAAAAAATTTTGGTATATACTAAATTTAACCCAAACAGGCCAATCGATTAAAAAGGATAATTTTGGAATTTAAAGAATCTGAGCCCGCATAATACTTAAATGGTATGTATTCTTATAGCTTCGAGCGTTTTCATTGCTCTTACGAAATTATATTGACCTCAAAATGAAAGAATTCCTTTTCTTCGCGGGGCCTTTTACAATTATCCTAGAGAGGGGAGATTCCTGGGGAATCATTACTATACCAAATGCTAAAATTTTGAAACTTACTCCGCTCGCATCGCAGGATTTTTATTTATTTTTTTGACGTGGCCTAATGCACCTACATTTATATATATAAGTACAAAATAAATTAAATTGAGTTGCAATAGAATCAAAATTCCGAAATCTCGTTATTGCCAATCACAATTGAAGTGCTCCGATAGCTCATGGCTTTCTACACAGCGCTCCTTTCCCTGCCCCTCGTCTTCTCACTACATTTTTACATAGATATTTATTCTTTTGTTCTACTCACCCGTTTTGCTGGGATCATGTGTCAAATGGCCACTCAACGAATGCAGCTTGTCGGTGATGCCATGAATCTTCTCCACGAAGGTATTACGTGATTCGCTAGCTGGCGGCGCTGCAATTTCAGCTATGCTATTTATATTTGGAATGGAGCCTTGATTGGAAGTGCAGCAAACCAAAATGAAGAAGAACAAGAATAAGAAGAAGAGCATAAATGAAAACGATTAAATGTTAAATTGAATAAAATGCTAGAAATTGAAAGCGTCACCAGCGACAGCTGCAGCACAGAAAGAGGAAAAAGGAAAGCAACTGCTTGAACTTTCGCTTTTATTTTGCTTGCTTTCGATTTTCCTCTTCCTCATCTCTTTCCGTTTTTATTTTATATCTACCATCTTCTTCTTACCCTTTGTATGCGATGTGACAGCCGCACAAGCCGTCGTACTGCTGATAGCTGCCATTTGATTGAGCGCCTTGCCATGCAGCTGGGACTGTGTGACATTCGGCTTGAGGAAGGAAACAAAAAGATGTTTGGCCAAATCGACTGGTGTCTCGCAGTCGAGAAATGCATCAAGAAAGCGGCGAAAACCATCGTAATCAATGTCCTGCAATGATATGAAATTTTAAAGTGAATACGCTGGAGAAATCAATTGGAAGCAATCAAATGGTTTGAGAGCAAGTGAAGGCAAAGACATTCATTGGAATTGAATTGTTCATACTCCTTTGAGTATTGAAAGCATTGTAGAAGAAGTGCGAAATAAAACTTATAGATTAAATACTTTATGATGCTTTGAATACTTCATAGGTACAGTTAATATTAATGTTACTTCTGATTTGTTTGCAAAAAAAAAAAATATTTGAATCCCAACAGGTTAGGTAAATTGCAGGTTAGGTCAGAATGGCTACCCCCCTTAAGTCGTAAGGTTCTCCTTTGCAAAAATCTGATGGAATGTGTGAAGAAAGTAAAAGCCAAGGTTTCTAGGCCTTAGCTTGTGAGAGCTGGGCAGCTGAGTAACAAATGCTGAGATATTACCAACTTATCATCCTACATACAGCTGCTGCAATAAAAGCTTGAAATGATGTCGTGCCTCACCGTATCTATATTGATCAGACAAGGTTTTAGCCCAGCCTTCGATGTAGTGATTAAAACACCATTTGTCCAGAAGCAGACTACAACTGCTTCAGTGGAATCGCACAACACTTGCTTACTCGACGGAAATCTTTAAAGATTGTTCTGCCTTGGTAACCCGTAGGCCCTGCGATATAACCGAGACCTGCCAAAATAGCTATGACGGACCGCTAACTAGCTTTTAGGGTAGTAGGATTTACCTTCTTACTTCCTTTCTTCCGAACACTACAGTTGTCCGGGAGCCCAAATTTGAGGTTAAGGGACAGCTCGTATGAATAGGTGACTTCGTTTAGCCTTCTCTTAGCAGATGCGATCCGTCCGTGAATGAGTTCAAAGGACCATGGATACCTAGTAGAACCCACGCTGTTCTCACTGGTTAAGATGTGGGAATCAATTCGATGTTTCTTAGAGTACCGAAGTGCCTATATTTGCACTCTCTCAACTTGCTTGCCATACACTGGAACTAGTTGAATTTGATATCACAGAAAGGCTCCATTGCCTTCTAACAGCTTATCTGCAATAGAAAAAGACTACCGACGTCTCCATTAAGCTTTCCTCGATGTGCAGTTTCCAGGAAAGTTCAAATGGCGGTCCATTGAGGTAGGCGAAAAGTTGAGCTGTTACATCACCTTGTAAAAAGGGCAAGCTCCGTCTTATTTAGGTTAACACTGAAGTCGTAGGTCGAAACTTACTTTGCAACCGATTCCTGTTACCTTAACATAAGTCCATACTTTGTGACTAAGAAGTTCCCTCTAAGTCCCCTTTCAGACACGTCAAATGAAGTCTTCCTTTCAAGTCTGCTCGTTCGTTGACGAAGGAGGTGAGAAGAGATGGGAAAAGTAAATATTCATACGTACCGTCAAAATTTTTCAAGTTTTCTTGTCTCTTTTGATCTCTTCGTTGCTTCCCATTATGGGAACCAAGGACTTGAATTCTATAAAAGTTTACGCAAGAAAATTGCATGTACGTTGCCAGCATAGGCAACCACCTGACAGTCACCTTTTCTAGGTTGTAGGATAGCTTCTAGACAAAAATAAATAAAATTATAAGACACAGCTATAACCCAATTTTTACGTATTTTGTGGTAAAATTCGTTCGAAAAATATTCTCGAATAAAACGTGAATACCTGAAACATATTACGTATACGCCACGGCATACCAAATAATTGACGAAAGATCAGAACGTTACCTTAATATAAAAAGGGCCCTAACTCAATTTCTTTTTAAATTTAGGTCTGCACAAAAGTTGGTAGATTACTTCCTAAAGACTTAGGCGATTGGTTGTTCATTAAAGCCAGTGTAATGAAAAAATCGCAACTTAAGTGCTTTAGTTTTTTATAAAGTTATATAACTACTCTGTATAGAAACAAAAATGTTAGATAAGAAAGACCTTTCTATATAAAAACGATAAAAATAATACGAAAAATAAACGTCAAGAAAATTACCATAATAATGTATGTAGACAGCTTTTAAAAGGCACATACGTAGTATGTGCATGTCAATGACTTCATTAATATGTATTTTATGCCTTGGAATTTTGTTAGCTTTACACGGGTCATGGTAAATAATGTGACTGCAGTAATTGACATTCCCAGTGTCGAGGATTATTACATTCTCAAGGGATATCATTAAAATGGTACTTAATTTATATACATACATACATATATACTAATGTGAAAAGTTGCGGGGATAAACTTCACAATTTAATTTGACACAAAATACCATTTTCTGGTCTAGGCTAAGGATTTTGTTTACAATGCAGATATGTATGATTTTTATTTGTAAATATAATTTTTTCATATTTTCGCGATTAGCAATATTCTGTATTGTTTGGACGAATGAATTAATGAATTTAATAAAATTGTGTTTAAAGCTTTAAACTTACGAACCTTCATAAATATTTTTAGAACAGATTTATTTTTCGAAAACCTTTTAAATGTGAGGGACTAACTTCGTTCGTATTTAATAATATCCCAAAAATTATATACACATCGTGTCAAAATTATAGGCGCACCACTTTGTGCAATATTAACCCTTAACTACTGTGCTCACTTACTCTCTTAACTACTGATGTTGGTACGTGAGACCACACAAATTTTATTGTTAAGTAATAAATATATATGTAGAACATTTCACCAAAAACTCTTTCTAGTTAAATTATTACTTTTCACTAAAAAAAAAAAAAAAAAAAATAAAAGCTTCAAAGGTAGCAAAAAATTTATTCATACATATATTTAAAACGAAAAATACTGTTTCTAAATAAAAAAAACACTTCAATTTTACAAGAGTAAATAAAAAATTTTGCAGCTTTCACAACGACTGGAAACTATTAATGATTTTAGTAAGGATTTTATCTTTGCTATTCCTATGCATATCGAGTAAAATCAAAAAAAAGAAAAGTTTTTTAAATTTATAATATTTTTTTTTTCAGGTTACAGCAATTACTGCAAATATTACTACTGCTCGAAATTTCTGCCACATTCCTTTACAGATATGGTTTGCCAGGAAGGAGATATTAAAAAAACAATCGAAACATAGTTACGTCAATGCTGAAATTTTTGTCTTAAGGATTAAAAAAATAACAAGCTTTTGTAAAAGCTTCGAGCTTATTAATTAAATTTCTTAGAAAGATTTTGAGTATGCACTTTTACAGCCCATTCAATCTGAATTTAATAAAATGCAAGTTTGCAATAGCTAGTACTTGCCATTTATTTCTGGCAAGTTTTTGTTGCTCAGTTTTTGTCATTTAAAAAATTATCGAACACACTTTGTATGGAAGAAAATGTATAACACCTTCAGCAAAAAAAAAAAAAAAAAATTCCTAAATTCAACGGTAAGTCCTGGCTATCTCGAACATGCAAAGTTAAATTGAAATTGTATGGGGGATATAAAACCACATATTCAAAATCTTTGACTAGTAGTATTCGACCGAAAAATTAAATTTTTGTGAGTATCTTAATGCTGGAAATATTTTTAACACAAACATAAGTGTGGCTCAAGTAATAGGCTAAATAAATAGAAAACGCGACGCAAGTGGTAATAAATTGCCAATTGACTTAAGTTCTTTATGTGTATATATTGCTAGGATTTAATGTTTTTGTAATAAATCAAGTAAAACGAAATCAATCATAGTGGATCGTGATTGAGTGTGGAGAAAAATGTATGTATGTATGAATACCTAAAGCCAATAAGCGGGAAAGAAAAACAATGCTGCACGACAATAGTGATATGATTTATGGGATTGAAAGGAAGAAAACCTAAGCGATTTATGATTTACTAGTGATTGGTGAAAGCGGTTGCCAATGATATGAATTATTGAGTGGCCAAGATTAAAGTACATATACATACATACATATCTATGTATTGTCTTACATATACATATGTACATACGTATGTATGCATTTACTTGTAGAGACTGTATACATAAATACATATGTATACATATGTATGTATGTGTTTGCAATCCATAAGCAAAACATAAACTTAGAGGCCAAGCACTTGGAAAATTCAATTGAACGATGTGAAGTGGACCGATGACCAGCACTTATGCTTCACTTATGTACATACATAGCTTACAACTATAATTACAATAATAAAGTGCTTACAGTCACTAATTAGAATATAAGCGAATGAAGCGGAAAATACATTTTGCCAATTGCCACTTACCGCAAGCGGGGCGACATGCCACAAACAGAGCTGCATCATGCGGGCAAGCTTACACAGATATGGGTGTGCGCACAGACATGTTACATACATATATTCAATTATCAAAAAACAATAGTGGTATTCACCAAACAGTTGACAACAGTCATTGCTTGAGCTGATCTGCTCTTTTGCCAGACTGTCAGGCCACTTGCTCACTTTGGTGAATACCACTAATATAAATACATACATTGAGGGGTTGCTGTAGTTGGCTTGGAAAGCAAGAAGCAAGCTAAAGAGAAAACTTAAAAACAATAAAATATAAAAATTATAGGAACCCTTCAATTATGCAACACACAAAAATTGATCATAGTTGATCCCAAATCCACCATGTCTGTATGTATTACAATAATTTCATTATTAATACTTATACTGTACTGGCTTAGCTACAGAAACATATCGAGCCCGAACCGCCAAAATAACGTAAGCGACATTTTTTTCAAAATTTTCTTTTTGATGCAGAAATGTATCTAGATGCTCTAGGAATATTTCTGCATCAAAAAGAAAATTTAAAAAAAAATGTAGCTTACGTTATTTAGGCGGTAAGGGCTCGATATGTACATTTGCTTAAGCCAGGATAAATACTTTTCAAACGGGAATGTTCTCGCTTTTGGAAAAATTAGGCGGAGGAAAATAAAACAGACACATATGCTTTTTTTTTTTGGTAAACAAAGCAGTCAATATGGGTCATATATGTCAGAGCTGTGAAAAATGCATTAAGTTTTTAATGCATAGCATTTTAATGTTAGTGCAAAAAATGTATGCATTAATTTT